GGAAAATTTGAAGATTGGGTAATACGTTGAATTAAATAATACACTGTAGTACAGCACTGTCTATACAGAACCTGCTGTGGCGAGAAAATTTACCCTCCAGATGTTTAGTCATTCTCTTCACACAAATCTTAGTAGTGATAACGTTTGCTTTTCACGATCACAACATAGTGAGGAGGGGGGGGGGGTTTGTTTGAATACGCAAAGTTAATGCTAACGAGACAGTAACTAATAACAAATGTTTTGTTGACATGCAGATGAAAATGACTGTCGAGTTCCATGAATACTGAAGATTCAAACAAAGCTTATAGACAGTACATATTCTTGTACTTCATGGTGCTAAGATATATTAAGCAAATTAATAAACTTATCTTAATTTAACTCCTTTTGGTGTATTCATTATATATTACTTTGTATGCATTATTCCTAGTTGAAAAGCAACATAAATCAACACTCGTCTTGACACTACGATACAGGTATTTCATCGTAACACTTTCCATGCAACATCATTGAAGAAATGACATCACTTCACCTTTTCTGTATCTAGTCACAGCTTACAATGGATGCAATTTATGCACCTACGTTATTCACAGGACACGACTATGAAACTACGAGGAATATGAACTTTTACATCAGCTCTAAACATCGACTTCATAAATGTTGTATTAACCCTTAAAAAGTTCATCTCCTCTTACATTCTTTAGTTATTACATGACCTATTAACATCATCTACAACTACTGAATTGCGGCCATAAACATTAATTGGAAGGGTAGAGAAGGGACTGAGGCAATTCCATTTTAACCCTCCAGTGCAGGATTACTTCACTCTGCGCGTCTTTTATATCGTGCCGAGAGTTAAAAAACCATTTGCTTTTATCCCATCTAATTTCATAGGAAATGACAGGCTTACGATATTATCATGTCTGTCTGTCTATTTGTCATCACCCAAAATATTAATAATACCATCATGGTGGCCATGCAAACTTCTGATAAGGAAGTGATAAACACCCCTTAATACTGGGTGCTGAATTGTTGGTAATAGGCCGCATGTAAATCATCAGGGCGATGATGGAGGCAGCAAGGACCTCCGAAATGTAGGTAAACTTCTACCAGACTACACGGCGCTACAACCCATAAGACTGCCATCTTTGAACTTCACAAGCATTTTCATTTTGTGAAGTATGCCAATTACTTATACAAAATATTATCTAATATGTTACGCCTTAGAATGGCTGTTTAAAGGACTCACATATGTTGATATGTCATGGATCTCGTTTGTCGTGGCATGGGCTCAATTTAGAAATCAAACATAACAATGAGGTTCATTAAGAGTAAAGTTGTTTCAGGTCAAACTAAGACAGGTACCCTGGTCCTCCAGGTTGGGGGTTGGTCGCAAGGCTAACAACCTTGCACCGTGAAAAGGAAGATGTTTTGAAACCTCGATCAAAGCCTCGGACAGACGGACCTAACAGAGGACTGAATGGAAGAGAATTGAGGAGGCTATGGACCGAATACAAACCAGAGAGCCATAGAAGAAGAATAAGAAAAAGAATAAGAAGAAAGTTGTTTCAAACTTCCTTGTTTCCAAACCTTTATTAATTTCGCTGAGTTGCACTTTTCATTACTGACTCATCTGAGTTGGACATCAGTAGGCCTTCGGTCGATTTATGTAACCAAGATTTGGAGCCAGTTTCATTAGCGTACTTTGACTGTCACCCTGTGTATGTCGTTTGTTCACATTTGAATAGAAGTACTACTTGGTATGAAGCAGGGAGCTGTTCAAACATCACTACACATGAGTGGTCCATGGTAAGAGCATGACTAGAGAAAAACTGTAGACTAACAATTTGGAAGGTGCTGATACAGTGTTTTATGGCGTGTCCAGCTCAGAATGCCGTATTCTTAGCGGAAACTCACGGGAACACTTTTGCCAGTGTAAGACAGCTTAAGGCTGCTACCAACTTTCCTCGACAGAAAAGTCCAGTTATTTCAAGTTGGCCTCAAAGCATGATGTGCTGCAGTGA